CGAGAAACGAGTGCTGTTGTGGAACGGATTATTATACGGATTGTATTTTGGTGTTCACCTATTTAATGACAAATAAAAGTATTTTATTACATAAAAGTTTACATTTAATTTAGATGTGCCATGCGTTAAATTACAGCATTTTGGAATTAAATTTTAAATAAATTTGAAAAAATAAATTTAAATACATTTAAATTGTTCTGTAAAATTAACATTTTTAAAAAATACAACTTTACTTGACACATGAAAAAAACTGTTAAAAATGCAAACACAACCGCAAATCCTTTAAATTGAAAATTAGTCCAGTTTCTTTTTTTACACGTCTCAATTCTACTGACTGTAAAGATATTTGATGATGTATTTAAAGTGTTTTTTCTCAGAAGCAGAGATTAATTTAGTAAACCTAATTAATATTAATTAATATTAACTATTGTTAAATATAATATTGTCTAAATCTTCAAAATGATTTCTTAAATTCACTCTTTAAGCATTGAAACCATTTCCTGTAGTGAGCAGTTTGTAATCTGATTATTATCAGGCTGTAATCTGATTATTATCAGGCTGTAATCTGATTATTATCAGGCTGTAATCTGATTATTATCACGCTGTAGTCTGATTATTATCAGGTTGTAATCTGATTGTAATCAGGTTGTAATCTGATTATTATCAGGCTGTAATCTGATTATTATCAGGTTTTAATCTGATTGTAATCAGGTTGTTACTAGGTTGTGAACAGGCTGTAATCACAACAGATTCGTCTGTTAAATGTCTGCAGGTCGTTCACACACAGTTTATGTTTCCAACATAATAAAAACATCCTGAGAGAGTGGGACGACATCTGCAGCTTCCTGCTGCAGGATATAAAATGTCGGAGCCCAGAGAGTAAACAGTAAACACCTTTCAGGAGGTTCATCTGCTCCTGCTCCAGCAGAACATGTTCAGATAAAAAAGTGCTGCTGGGAAAAAAAAAACAACCCTTGATTTATCAGTCATTAGTTTACCTTCTGTCCTCCACTGTCTATACTTTAACTTCCTGTCCTCCTGTGGAAGCAGTAAGTCCAGAGAAGGAGGACTACTACGTGGACATCCTTATCTACGTGACGGGCTGCGTGCTGTTCATCCTGGCTGTGGTCATCGTGATCCTGTGTCGGATGAGGATGACCACGCAGAAGACGCTGCCGACGCCTACGGTCCAAAAGCTCTCAAAGTTCCCCCTCAAGAGACAGGTAACAGAAAGTAGATACAAGATTTGCAAAGCCCCTTTACCTCCTCTCCTCTCCTCTTCTCTCCTCTCCTCTCCTCTCCTCTCCTCCTCTCCCCTCCTCTCCTCTCCTCTCCCCTCCTCTCCTCTCCCCTCCTCTCCTCTCTTCTCCTCTCCTCTCTTCTCCTCTCTTCTCCTCTCCTCTCCTCTCCTCTCCTCCTCTCCCCTCCTCTCCTCTCCTCTCCCCTCCTCTCCTCTCCCCTCCTCTCCTCTCTTCTCCTCTCCTCTCCTCTCCTCTCCTCCTCTCCTCTCCTCTCCTCTCCTCTCCCCTCCTCTCCTCTCCTCTCCTCCTCTCCCCTCCTCTCCTCTCCTCTCCTCTCCTCTCTTCTCCTCCCCTCTCTTCTCCTCTCCTCTCCTCTCCTCTCCTCTCCTCTCCCCCTGCCCTGCTCCCCGCTGACTCCATCAGTAAAACGACTCTTGTCTGTCAGGAGAGTTTGTGCTGCTGACTTCCTGTAATGAACGTATAAATTTATATTTGGTTTATCAACAGTACTAGTACTTGTACTCGTACTAAGGTCCTTAGGATTTTCAGAATACCTCTACATTTCTAAACACGTGTTGAAGAAAAGTCCTAAAAAATGTAGATGTGTGAAAAATGTGTTTGCATCAGATTATTGTTTTAATAATTGAAAACTTGAAACTGCAAAACAACATCAACTGTGAAGAGTAAAGCAGTTCACCGTGGAGGTAGAAGAGGTTTGGAAGAGTCATGGAAAAACACGGCTCACATTTCCCAAGTCTGTGCAACACTGGGGATTTAAACCCACAGCCCTATGGGCTCCAGAACAGACTTGACTGAGAGAAGGTGGTCTGTGGATGTTGTAGGTCTGTCTGTGCTGCTGCGGCAGAGCCTGGCGACATGTGTTCACATTTGTCTTGGAGCAGGTTCAGTTGGGAGGATATTTATTCCCTCCTGTGACTGTCAATGTTAGTCTTCGGTTTCACTGTGTCCATCAGTCTCTCAACTGTTTGGACAGAAACGTAAAGAGGAGCAGCTGCCTGTGGAGCAGGTCTGCGGGATGAAGAAGCTCTCAGAGGAGCACACGAACACACAGCGCCTGTGTACACACCGGTCATGTGACCGCGGGAGGAATTCACGATTTTGTTTGTGGGACAGAGTTACTGTGGATTATCAACGATCAGAAGATTCTAGAGTGATATTTAAATATGTTGAAGCACTGACACAAAAATAGGCACAAGAACTATAATTAGTGATGAATCAATACAGTTGAATCTCAGTCAGGAATGGAACCCATGGAAAAAGATTTTCCATGTCATATACATGTGCAGGAACACAGTCTTGGAAAAACAGGAAATGACACTGGAAAACAGTAAAAGTAAACTGGAAACATGGAAAAATGATGTTTTATTTACTCTCTGTGATAGAAACAGTACCTGGTCTGTCAAAAAAGTCTTAGGAAAAAAAGGAAACACCAGGAAAACTGGGAACCCCGGTGTATAATTTACTGTCGGTGGTCTGTGTGTGACATCAGGCTTTGTCGCGTGGTTCTCAGTTTTTATTTGTTGTCTGGTGGCACGTTCTCGTGATGGATGAGTTTGTGATCATGGGCACTGCCACACCCTGCCGCTGCCGCTGCCGCTGCTGCTGCCGCTGCTGCTGCTGCTGCTGCTGCTGCTGCTGCTGATTTTCCAGCTCCCAAATTAAAGGGCTAGAGCTCGTTGAAACGCAAAGGTTGTGTTTTTAGAAAGCAGTCTCTATAATTCATTTCTTGGAAAACAAGCGGGAGACTTTGGAGCCAGATTTAGATTTTTCAGCAAAAACTGAACAGTTCTGCACTTCTCTGACAGACAGACAGTCAGGAAGGAGCCTCCAAAGATTGAACTGTGCTCAGAGCCTCTGTACATTAACTGTGTCTACAGATATACAGATATATATATATACAGTATGTATGTATATACACACATGTGTGTGCAGCGATTGAGGTGATAAAACATCATCACAGTCTAAAGGAGGCGAGGTTGGTTTTATCTCCTGACCTAAGTCTCCTCTGCTCCTGTTGCCATGGAAGATCTGGTTTATGGAGAAGTTCAGGGAAAGTCTTTATTGAATTCCTTCTTAAATCCTTACGTGTTCTTTGAGAAGCTGATGGGCTTCTCTCTTTTATTTTTCATAACTCTGAGTAAATCTCCCTTAAGTCCAGCGGCATCTTCACTCACATATTACTCCTCACGCTGCTGAACTCGGTCCAGGGTCTTCTGTCTGTTGGTTTTTCTCTT